GTTACTTTTATATATATAAACACAGGGAAAAAAAGGCAATTTTAGATTCGGAAAAAATATTTTGGTCGGCCACATTTGTCTAAAAATCTGATTAAAATAGAATCTCTTTTAAAGGGGAGGACAAAGGAAGAAAAGGAGGAAATCAAAACCCTTTTCTTATTTTTCTCTTACGTGTTTTGTCCAACCATTAATTATGTCTTATTTGACTATCAAAAAATTACTTTATGTCTTATTCTCATTTAGAAAAATCTTTTCAATTGAAAGATTTTTTTTCCGAATCAGAGAAGGAGAAAAAGAAAAAATTAAGATAAATTTACAAATAATTTTTATACAGTTATTTATATAAAATTTTATCATTCATCTATTTATTATAAATCATTAAAATTTATTTATTTATTTAAATTATAATGATTTTTTATTTAAAAAATTATAAAATATACAAAAATAAATAATTAAAATTTTATATAAATAAAACATATAAGTAAATTTTAAAAAACTACTACAGTATGATCTTTTTCTTTGTCCACAAATAAAAAAGAAGGAAAAAGGATCCCACGAATTGAACCCAGCAGAATAAAACTGGAAGAGTGGAGACCATAGATTTTGAAAATCTTTAAGGCATAGTAATTAACAACTAATCATACATTATTTTACCAACGAGGGTTGGATTAAGTGGCAAGCGGCTTGTTTCAGTTTAAGTAAGGTCTCGAGTTTGAAATCTTGTGTACGCAGTAGTCTTCATTGGGAGATCTACCCACCATTCTGGTGCGCCACAATTGGTCGAGTCCGGAGTAGTCAAGGTGAAGCCTCGGATACCGGGCAGAAAACCAAAAAAAAAAAAACATACATTATTTTTACTAAATTCTGTTGGTTGAAATAGAAAGAGCTCGATTTTTTTTAAATAAAATCTTGAGTTTGAGTTTTTCTCCCATGATTCGACGCGACTCAATTTTAGATTAGTTGAGATTTAATATGGTTATTGATACCGAAAAGTTAATTGAAAAAAAAAATCATACACTATTTTCCAGGAAAAAAAAAAAAAAAACCACACATGAATATTACAGACATAATGTTTCCATAATTCTGTCTATTGGGCAACATCTGTTTTTATAGTCTCCCGTTTCCTGTCTTCGGTTCTCAAGATTGCATTTCTATGAAATAAAAGGTTGAGCTGATCAGAAAAAAACAGACTCTTCATTCGCTCCATTTGTTTCCTTTCTTCATCCATCTGCAAATCAAACTCCTCAAAGCGAACAAT